ACATGCCCAATTTCCTTCAGTTACTGCCATGATTAGACATTTGCATCGTCGAGCAGTTGGACAGGTGTACATAATAAATTGGCCGGTGAGTGTATATATATATATACTCTTGTCAGGTAGTCTAATGACATATTAAAGTATTAAGACTATATTAATAGATCACAGTGATGACTTAATACTAATTGTGATTTTTAAATTCTTTGTTTTATAATTTGGCACCATTCTTCAAAACTCTAGATTTTATGTTTGTCAGTAATGTATACAGATATATTTATAAAAGTCACATTCTCAATCATTTCTTATAAGATTAGAAAAATAATACCTTTTCATTTTATCATCACTTTATATTAAGCACCAACCTAACAACCTGAGGATTTTTTAAGTTACTATAATCGTCCTGGGGTCTCTCAACAACAAACAGAACATTAGTATTAATTAACATTCCATACCAATAATACCTTTAACAGTTAATGATCCCTTGCTCTCCTGAGAGTATCAGACAAACTAATGCTGACGGCCTTTCATTTCCTCCCTGGACAATAGCTCACCACACTCAGAATGGGAGGAAAGAATGAGCTGGCACTGAAATCATCCCAGCGCACACGTCTGCTCTACTTCTTGGCATTGCAATGAGTGTGTATACATCTACGAGTGTGTGAAATATAGTGGGAGACAGTAAAGAAGGAGGACTCCCTCAGAAGCAGAATACCGGGCTTCCCCCTCCGTTCTTCCCCTCCTTTCTTGCATCCTCTCTGATTCTTCCTCTTTTCATCTTCAGTCACTCTGCTTCCCTACTGCGGCAAACGCTCGTCCCATTTCCATTCATCACGCATTCATTCATTTCCTCGGCTCTCATTCGTCTGTACTTGAAAACAAGGCATCTTCAGGGTCCGCTGGGAACGGCGTTGAGAGATGAAGGGAAGCAAAACGCAACTGGGTTGATCAGCATCTCAGGTAGACGTCTGCGTAATAGGAGCTGTGTGAAAACCGGAGTCGACAGTTCTTCGTTTATATGCTAACATGCCATAGGGCTCTTTTAATGAAAGCAAGTCTACAGTCTCTCTAGGGTAGGAGGCTCATTATGGAAGACTAAACTCCTGGTCTCCTCCTTTAGAAGGTGAATTGATGAACAGGAACTGCATGGCAAGCATCAAGGTTGCTTGTCTAATGTTAACTGTTATCTGGCACATGAGGAAATCCCACAAACAACTGACAACGTATGCGATAATACAGTACAGTAGCAGGCAACGTTTTCTGGATGGAGGCGCTGGTGCGAATATATTTGGATGAGAATTTAATTGGACAAGGATTATGATTGCCGGTCTCCCAGGAATTGGTGGGTACAAAGACAAACGTGTTCCCTTCAAGTCCAGATTTTTCAGAGGCTCCTCTGGGTGCAGATATTTTCATAATTGGCCCTTAAAAGTTAAAAAAAGTGGAACGTTTCCAGACGTGGGTGTTATTGGAGGCTTAATTATCTATTAAAAACAAGACTACTAATACTAATACATGTTTTCTGATCTGAAACATAAGCCCTTGATTGGGCTTTCTGTCAATTTTAATCCATTTCACAATTAAAAAGTGAGATGTTATTATTGGCTGGTACTGTACTACACTGTGCACATGTTAAGATACCATTCTCATAAAGATATCATCATATCATAAAAAATATGGTCAATAAACTATGAATTCGTCATGAGACTATTCAAATTCACAAGAAATATATAATACAAGTAATTTTGGGTCACCAAGGACAAATAAGCAAGCTATGAGATTAAACATGAGGGGTTTGGATGCAGGCTCGATGCAGTTGCACACCGAGCTGCATGCAAAATGCTTTTTAATGGCCACATCTAACCCCACCCCTCAAAATGACATCACTACCTCTAAGTGCATTGTGACTGACATTGAATTTCTGAGATATGCTATCTCAGCTTGCATCATCAAGGCTGTTCAATCCAGATACTATTGGATTGAACAGCCTTACTCAAATAGACAAGGACTGAATACAGATCAATCAACCTAAATGGTTTAGAAAACACCAAGCGACAACTATGCAAGCAACTACTCTCCAACTTAACTGCAACTGTAATAGTTCGGCAAACATAGTAATCACCATGCAGCCACATATAACATCACGACAACATGGTGACAAGTTTTGCACAGTTCTTTTAGAAAACATACTGCAATAACCCAGGTATTCTTATTACTTTTTTAGATTATGATGAGGATCTTTTAAAAATAGCTTTGTGGTGAAGAAGTGATAATATGGGCTGACAAAAAATGATGGCAATTTAGTGCAATGATTTAAAATTAGAAGCTGCAGGCTGATAATATTCTTGTTAATATATTTTTTGTTCGCAAAGGCTGCATTTAAAAATACAATAAAAATAGTATTATTTTCAGTTTCGTAATTTAATTTAATTTAAAATGTTTACAAAACTGATTTTTCAGCTGCCAAATTCTTTATAGACGAATATCAATCACTCAAATCACATCTGGCAGTGGTCTGGGACCCATTCCAGACAAAACTGCACAGGTCTAAATAATACTGTTATTGAAACCACATTTGTAAATTGTACTTCTCCCAAAAAGTAAAAAAATAAACTTGACAGTGTGCATGTTATTAGCCAAATGACCATCAGATATAACAAGGCAAATGCAATAAGCAAGGCAAATGCCACAGATGACAATTTGACATGTTTATTTAATTTTAATTTAATTTTAAGCACAGTGATTTGTTTTTGGGAGAACACTTTACAGTTTTGAACGGTCTTGTGCGTATCTGTACCACAAAAATACATGTTTCATTCAGCCCGTAATGACAGTAATCACAGAGCCTGCCTTGAGCGCTTGTGATGATGAAACACTAGTGAATACTGCAACCTGAAGCCTGCATATAAAATAATAATTTGTATTCCAAATTAAATATGTTACTTATATTTCTGTAACTAATAAAGTGGACAGGTGTTTCTGATGCTTTAGCTGACTTAACCTTGTGAAATTTGCATTAACCGTGCGATTTAAAGATCGAATCATATCCGGATGAGGGAGATGCATTTTAATGGTCAAACGTTTTCACAAATCAGAAAATGACAAGGTCTAAACAGACCCTTAGTTTTCAGTGTCATATAATCCTTTAGAAATCAGTCTGATTCACTAATCCTGTGTTCAGTCATTCAACCAACCAACCAACCGACCGACCGACTAACCAACCAACCAACCAAAGAACCGACCGACCTACTGACCGACTAACTAACCAACCAACCAACAGACTGACCGACCGACTGACAGACTAACCAACCAACCAACAAACTAATTACAAATTTATAAACAGTTTGCTACTCATTATTTGTAAGAAAACCAATCATTGGTTTAGGAAAGTTTAAACGAACAGAATATTATTTATATAAAAAATATATATTCTTTGTACCAACACATGCCTTAATTGTCTTGTTATATACAAGTTTTAATTCTTAGATAAATAGTTAATCAAAGGGCAGGGAGATATGTCAAAAATGCAATATCGATAACTGTTTTCCATATAGAGCGATAGCCATGTATATTTCGATATAAGTTGTTGTTTCCAGATTTAAAAGAGTACCCCAACAATGACAGAAGCCACAAAGATTAGATGCTTCATTACAACATTGCAACATTTTAAAGGATTGTTTATTAACAAAAACGATTTACACATTACTCAGATTTTTTGGAGTTTCCGATTTCTGTACTATACAGAAATAAAAATATTCTTATTATATTTTCTAAAAAAATAAACATTTAAAAAATATTTTAAAATAAATGTTTTACTTAATTAAAAACGATAAAAATTGTCATAATTAAGATAAATACAGCAAATACTGCTGGTGGGAAAGTGAATCAAACTCAGTAAACAATGCTGGATGACGCAGCATATCTCTAATATCAACACATTTACAGATTCTTGTTGTTGCATATGTCTGCTGTGCGATTTGCTCTTAGATTAATATCGAGTAAAAACGTCCATAGCTTATCATCATTATTGACCTACATTTTATCGTGACTCGACATGAAATCGTTTTTCGGTCCAGCCCTAGTTGATAGTATATCCAAAACTTTGCTGACTGGTCAACAGCTGTGTTTTATTCATTATAAAGCACAGGTAAGACTGCTTCAACCAACGGTTCTGTGCATCAACACCCCTAGCAACCACACATAGCAACATAAACAATTAGTATAGTTTCAGAACTCTTCACATATTATGTTTTTCAGCCGATTAACTGTTTATTATATACAGTTGAAGTCAGAATTAATAGCCCCCTTCAAATTACTTTTACCAGAGCAAGAAAACTTTCACAGTATGTCTGATAATATTTTTTCTTCTGGAGAAAGTCTTATTTGTTTTATTTCGGCTAGAGTAAAAGCAGCTTTTAATTTTTAAAAAAACATAATCTATATTTGTTTTCCATTTTTATGTTCCATTTTTATACAATAACTTGCCTAATTACCCTAACCTGACTAGTTAATCTAGTTAAATCGTTAAATGTTACTTTATGCTATATAGAAATGTCTTGAAAAAAATATAGTCAAACATTATTTACTGTCATCATGGCAAAGATAAAATAAATCAGTTATAGAAATGAGTTATTAAAACTATTATGTGTAGAAATGTGTTCTTCTCTCCGTTAAACAGAAATTGGGGGAAAAATTAAACAGGGGGCTAATAATTCTGACTTTAACTGTATGTAAAAAGTATAAGCGACTGTTGATGTTATTTTAATGCGTTAACCTTACTTATGACTTTGTGATGTGATGTGCAGTATGTACAGAAGGCTAATTAGTGTAAGTCAAACGTTAGTGTACCACCTGATCAAAAAAGCATGTGTAGGCATCCACTAGGGTGTTATTACCTTTAAATTTTAGGCCTCTCCCCATATAATATTTTCATTAGAAAAAGTAAAAATGCAACATATATTAACCCCCGACTTGCATGTAAATTCTGTAATAAGAAATTTTCCTACCACTGGAGCAATTCAGTCTTGAAGTACCAACTTCAGGTTTTTGCAAGAACGCATGGCGAGCTGTGACGCAATGAAATATTATGCAATTAATCCACATGAATATTAGAATCGATTAACAGCCCTAGTGATAACCAGATCTCAAATCACTTAGTAATAAGAAGTGAACATGCAAAAATGAAGCATGCGCTAAGTGACCCACCGGCTGGCTGTGTGCAGAACTCCACCGAGACCTCCTTCTTTTCCCTCTGCTCAAGAGGAAGCTGCCAGGGCATCTGATGGGGTCGCGCCACCACCCGTATCTTATACACCGTCATGGGCTTCAGGTTGTAGAAGTGGTATTTGTAGCCTCCAGGCTTTACTACATCATACTCCACATCATTCAAGTAGATCATGTGACTGTAGTTGCTGTTGCTCGGCATCCAGGTGAGCTCGGCAGACGCTTGAGTGATGTTCTCCACACGAAGGTAATAGGGCGCCACCACCACGTCTTTCCCCACCAGAAGTGTGCAGCGCAGCGGATCGGAAAGGCCCCGTTCCGTCATGCTCTGGATGGAGATGCGGTGCGTACAGACAGTCAAGTTCAACTTCTCGATCAGAGATTTGGTGCGTCCACCGAAGGGAATGCTCATGCGCACCTCCTGGTCAACCAGCACATTGTAGCCGCTGATAGGCGTCCATCCGGGCAGCACCACTGGAGGGTCCCAACTTATAATGACACTCTTGGCCAGCTGTTTGATCAAGGTAATGCGGCGAGGGTAAGGCACGATGTCTTCTCCGATCTCGTCGATGTTCACGTCCAGCGTGCCTGTCCCGTTGCTGCAGGGTCCCAGATAATCGATGCCCAGCCCCGTGCTCATGCCCAAGCTGCTTACGCCACTGCTGCTGCTGGTGCCCGTCCCGGTGCCCGAGCCCAGTGCATCCAGCTTCTCTGAGAGCAGCGTGCTGAGAGTGCTTACGGCGCTGCTGGGCATGGAGGCAGGGCTGTGGTTGAGGTAGGACGGTTCCTTGATGCGGTCCAAGAGAGGAGCCGAGGGGAGCTCCTCATCCTGGACAAAGTCTACAAAGTTGGAGGGAACGAGACCCTGCTGTCCATCCAACAACTCCCCTGGAAACAGAAATAAGGGGGAAAAGGCTAATCACACAACAGCATAGTTTTAACATAGTACGAAATGTATCAAGATGTTAAAAGTTCACCCAAAAACAAAATTTCATTATTAATTACTCACCATCATGTTTTTCCAAACCAGATAAGACCTTTGTTCATTTTCAGAGCAGCACACATGAAGAAATTTTAGAATAAATCTGTGAGCTCTCTTATCCTTCATACACAATAACGGTCACGACTTCTCAAAGTCGAGTTAAGGAAAAAATAGCTCCTTTAACACATATAGACCTTTCAGAAAAATTACCAGCAAATTTTTGCCCTTTTTGAACATACCGGTAAATTGGTTCCGACAATTTTGCCGGAAAGAGAAGTTGTAACATTACTGTTAGTTTGCCGGAATGCTGCGCTGAGTGAACGCAAAAGGAAAAGGACATCTACTTTAGCCAATAAGAACACTCAGACGCATTCACATCTGAGCTGTTTATGAGAATAAAAGCCTTTGAATAGGTTTCCAGACACATTTAGCGGCTAGATGTTAGTCAGTTAACATTTCTAAGTTCCTGCTTAATGCCAACTGTGTAAAAAAATATCAATAAAATACTTATAATAAACTGTGGTTTGTTTACCTTCAAGCTCTGCTTGATGAGGATTGTGCAAGTGAAGTGCAGGAGTGCTCCGGTGAGGGCCAGCACACACACATATTATGAACATCTCAACATGCAAAAGTGTTCCTCCATATGTTTTCATTAAAGTTGTTCACAATACTTATTCATCCACAGAATTTGTAATGCGGTTAGTGCTTCTGCCTTTGGATGTCTATGGGATAAACTGCATGAGTGCTATGACTTTAAATAAAAGTGAAACCATTAAGCTGGATCCCCATTACTTTTTCAAATACAATCGTTTTGAGCTTATTTCTAATTAATGATGTCAGAATTTTACTGTATTTTGGAATGGATGTGTGAACGTATTTTCCAGAAAAATTCTGGAACGTTGTTGCTTGTGTGAAGAGTGCATTTTTGAATTTACCAGTAAAGTCGTTCTAGTAATTTTCCAGATGTCACCGGTATCACTGTGTGAAAGGGGCTATTGTCAAAATATTCCATGCGACTCCAGTGGTTCAACTGTAATACTTTTGTGAACCAAAAAAATCCTACATAAATATGACTTTGTTTACCTATATCTTTTCTTCCACGTCAGGTCAGGGTGCAAGTTGACTACAGACAATGCAACATATTGCGTGCACCCTAAACTGATGCAGGAGACTGCAGAAGCTGTTTTTACAGATTTTTAAGGCCCAAAAATGCGTATGGAGCTTGTTACAATTCCAGTTGAACAATTGAAGTCACTTTTTTAAATTCCTGTTCTGGGGGCGCATTTCCCAAACAACAACATAACTCACGGCTGAACTATCATAGTACGATGCACCATTTGGTAAAAAAAAAAAACGATGTAGTGACAAGTGTTTCCCAAAATCTTTAGTTTCTCATTTTTTTGTGCAAATGATATTGTTTTACATGATTACACATTTAAAAAAAATGTTATATTAGTTTTAGTAAAAACATGCACTCATTTTCTATCTTAATTGAAATATATAAACGACACATAGGACATATTTATGTTTCCTTTACAAATATTATTGAGAATATTTCATATATAATCACTTAGTCAACACATTCTAATCTCATATATAAATCATATAAATTGTTAATGGTTGTAGACCTAATTTATAGTAGGTGATTGATTAAGAAATGTAAAAAATCCTACTCAATATCATTATCATTATTAATGTTATTATTATTATCATTATTATTATTATTATTATTATTATTATTATTATTATTATGTAGGATATTGTTTATTTATTTTTTTGAAAAGTCTACTTTTACATTTGACACATTCAAACTAGTGCAGAAATGTTCTAACCAGCAGGCCCATATTCAGTACAGACACATTTCTTAATAAATAACCTACTATAAATTAAAACTTTTAACATATGCTCAGTCAATATTTGTAATAATATAATACATTGTTTTTCACAAGCTTTGGAGACGCAATGTAAATTACGCTTTTAAATAATAGTGATCTATAGCTTTCGTCATAAGCCACGGCTGTGTTCAAAATAGCAAAAATGTTTTTAAAGTGCACTACGAAGGGAGTGTAATTGTCAATATGAATATCGCTAAATCTGAACTGTAAAAATACTTTGAAAGCAAATAATACCTAAGAGAGATGACTTTAATGCTTTTTTCTTTAATAATTCCAAGTTTAAATGTTGTAAAATTGTAAATGAATAGGTCATGGGCGGGTAACGGGGAATAGAACACAACCATGCGTCTAATTACAGCTCTAGAGGTGTAGTTGTAAGCTTACAAGTTAGAATGTTTGTTGGAACGACGGTTTGGGAAACGCAAACTATCATTGTAACAACGGAACTAGCGACCTTAGTTAGCTAACAATGGCTTTCGGAAATGCACCTCTAAAGGTCTCGTTGTCTATAAAGGGGGTCAAAGAGCTTTCAGATTTCTCCTAACATATATTAATTTGTTTACAAAAGATGAACAAAGGTCTCGGGGGATTGAAATGACATGAAAGTGAGTGATTAAAAACTTGTCACTTTTGGTTGAACTAATCCTTTAATGTCTTCAAGGGATGTTCATCGATTTTGACTGCTAACAGTCTCTGGAATGCACTTTCATCCAAAAAATAGTTTCTCAGTAAAATTTTTAATGTTTTTTATATGTCAATGTGGTGTTTTCAGTATGTTTAAAGACAATCCAAGAGCAAGAGCTTTGTACTGTATTAGTATTAGTATCTCTATTTGTACTACTGTAGCACTCGAAAGAGCATCAATAGCATTCATTTACAGTATGTTTCAAAATATTTTTAAAAATGTTAATTTTAAATGTTAAAGTTTTGCTCAGTATAAAGTATGCTCATAAATCTTCTCATTATAACGAATGAAGTGTGGACAAAATGTAATACATTTTACTGTGCGCCCTAAAAAAACGTCTCTACAATGGATCTTTAAGATGGCAATGAATCAAGATAAATGACATATTTTCAATGAAATAACAGTAGTGCTCTCTGGACCCTTTTTAGGCTATAATCCATTCTTAATTTCAATACATCCACTCAGCAATTCACTCTTGAAATTGTGGCGATTCATGCAGCAATAAGCTTCATGACACAATTTCGATAAGCTTCATCCTCAATTTCCACTTGCCAAAGTATAACGTACCCTCATAGAAGCCGTCCTCATCCATGGTTCCATAGACATACAGGTACTTCCCAGCCACCAGGGGGAGCTCTGCTTCAGGATGCTCATTGGGGCCATCGTAAGGGTTATAACTGCAAACAGAACCAGTTAAATCGATCCATGTGAATTAAATCCTCCTAAAATTTTAAATCTATCCAATTAAACTTTCTATTTGCCTATTGTCTTTTAACTATGATGTGACAAATAAATTTGGGTAACACTTTATAATAACTATAAACTACGATTCATTTATTAGGCATTAGTATAGTGAATTCATTATCTGTTAAACATGAACTCTACATTAATAAACGTTATTAAGCAGTTTATAACTGCAGTTAGAAATGCTCTATTCTTAATTTATAAAAAAACTGTATTTTCATAACATATGAGTAATAAATTTTTCATTACTAAATTAAGCATTGCATTTGTATTTAAGAGTAGTCGATGGTTTTTTAGAGAATTCAGAATGCATAAGTAAATGATTAACAAACTATTGAAATCAACATTTATGTATCTTATTATTCAGGCGTATAGTAATGGTAACTTTGTATGTTAATAAATGCTTTGTAAACACAACTACATGCATTTTAGTATCAAATGAACAATAATGTTTGCACTTTTATCTAAAAAAAATTAATTACAGTAAAATTACTGTAAAAATAGGATAAAAAACAATATAAATAATGTTTTTTTCAAATAATATTTTAACAGTATGATATGATGCAACATTTCAATGTTATTTAGCGATGTTTAAACTCTATGGTAATTTTATGTTAGATAAGATTGCAAAGATTTATTTTTCATTTTATACGGTTTTATTTGTGTATCTTCAAATGAATAGAAATAAATAAAGTTGTTGATGTTCATTTTTCTGTTTAGAATTAAACCGAGCCGTTAATTGTCATTTATAAGAGATTTAAAAAGCATAAATGGTCCTCACTTTAGATTAGGTCACAAAACTGGATGAAGTTGAGTTAATAAAGCATTTATTAACATACAAATTAACTATAACTATATGCCTGAATAATAAAAATGATAAATGTTCCTTTAAAGAGTTTATTAATCATTTAGTAACTCATTCTGAATGGTCTTAAAACCACCAACTATGCTTAAATACCTGGTTTGTAAATAATGCAATACTTCATTTAGTATAGAAACATAAATAATTAACAAATCATGAAAGCACAATTATTAAGCACATTATAAATGTGTTTATAAGTCAAGAATTTGTAGCTGCAGTTATAAAATGCTTACTTACGTTTATTAATGTAGAGTTCAGAGTTTCATAGTGTGTAGTTATTATAGTGTTACCCAAATTCTAAATATCTTCAAATGGCAAAATTCTTCATTTATTTGAAGTTTGAAATTAGTGTTGGTGTACCATCTGCTGATGCTACTAGAAGCTTTCATAACAAAGTTTGAAAACAAAGCTGTGAAAGTATGTAATGTAATATGTTCGGGTGGGAGTACTTTTCTAAATGCATGAGCTTTTTCGGTTGTGTGTGTTAAAATTTCTATACCGTACAACATACTTGACTATTTTTGAAATGGCGTTTTACAGAAGGTGACAATTAAAGATTTCCTAACATTCTTTCATGGCTTTCTTCTTGTTTTTCTTTTTATTTTAGGTAACCCTTTTAAGGGTTAAAAGCTGAAAACATACAATCAGCTTCCTACTCTTGCTTCCGAGGCTGAGTACTGTATTGGCCACTAGACATTAGGTTCGTTACACATTGGAACACTGAAGGTGACATAAAAACACACTCGTTATACAGCATCAAACAAAGAAATGGTTACTGGGTTGTTCTGTACCTGTTTAATAATGTGTATTTATGGTCAATTATAATTAAATAACTAAATAAAATATTTCAGAACTTGTGTTGAGGGAACATAGTCAGCATCGACATTTAAGTTAGCAAAGGTCTCAGTGCACTCGAAGAGTCTTGTGATTTAGACAGCCTTAATGTCCATCTAAACCAGAAGTTGCTGAGACTTTTATTTGAGTATGTTAATGTGAATATTGATTAGGAGGCGGGGCTTTCTTTTTGTGCATCATTCTATCCATTAGCAAACTAACTGCAAGAGTTGTGTGGTTAAAAATATTATGGATGAAGCCGTCAAACTGACATCAACAGAGAAGGACCGCCAACCTAAACGTAGAAGCAAAAGGTCGGACTTTGATTGAAGATTATCAAAAACAAACCCTTTTTTAAGTGTATTACTGTAACTTGCATGAATTTATTGCTCATCTAAAAGATAACAATGTGGGCTAGTTTTAAATTTGATTTCACATACTTTAAAATGGCTGACTCCCTGATCAGAGCCCTGACTACTGAAAGAGGAAGTTGATTGAGACACATGCTATTGGATGTTATGATTATTGCTGGGATTGTATGACAGCTTATTTGCATGCTTGCTAATGAAAATTCTTGTCTGTGGTAACTGACAGCTCGCACAGATGTTGTTGATATACTTAACTTGTACTTAACCAAGAACGTTTCCTAAAGGCAGACCTGTTACCGTGACTACTGCTATTCCACGCCTAATCATTACAGCTAATGGCATGATATAACAAATCATTACGGCTAATGACATGCTATAACCTATTATTACAACAAATGTTCTATTGTACTTTCTCGCAACAGCTGTATTGGATCCACTCACTTGTAGCGGGCAACACACAGACGCACTTTGCCTGTGTATCTGGACTTAGACCTGGGGGACGAGCCAAGCTCTTTGTCCATCTAAAGAAGAGAGGAAACGCAAATAGTTGAGTTAATGGTCAGCTTTACCAGCTTACAATATAGCTGTTGTAAAGCAGAATGTTAAGCCTGATCAGCACAGGGACTTGAAGGCTTTGTTCAAACAGATTGTTTTGTCCGTCGTTCTCAAATCCGTTTAGTTTACTATTGTCTGTACAGCAACAAACCATGAAATTATGTTTACAAACCTGACCCAAACCAAAATTCATGTGTGGTTTGATATCTGATTATATTTCATTTATCAGTCAATATAGTCAGATTGCATTTCAAAACAGCTACTTTTCTTGTATTCTGGGATTGTGCTGATGTAGATACAACAAATATACATTTGATATCGGATATCTGGATTATATTTAACACTATAAATACAGAAGCAGGCAGCTTGCCTCTTTTTTTTTTTTTGGCAAATAGCTTAAAATAAAACCCATATAACTATAGTGCCATGACATTTCCTAAATATGTGGTACATTCTAACATTGTTATTCTTTTAGGATTACAAAACACTTAAATGACTATAACTGTCAAATTGGCAGCATTCATTTCAGGGTACGCTACTTTTCTGTGTACCTTGGAGTATGCATGCCTCTGCTGCCAAACAAAAACATTCTTACTGATAGCAAAAACATAACTTTACTTCAGACAAGGCTTTCAAACTTTTATAAACAACATTTTCACAGTGATGAAAAAACAATGCCCTCCTGTTTGCTGGACAAAGTGAGGTGGAGGCAGTCTAATAACTTGTACACAATAGTTTAAAATACAAAGACATCATATTTTTTTAGGGTAATGACTTTACAAAATATGACAACAGACATTCAAAGCTTACAGTAATTCTAAAATCTCAATAGAAGCTTTGAATGTAAATATAAAAAAACTATTCAGTGCAATCTTTTATGAACAATCAGACGTATCTTATATGACTATACTATGGCCATTCTAGTTACAGAATGAAATAAATGTCAAAGTAACTATATGTACACTCAGACTTAATGGATCTAAAAACCAAATCAGCTTTGTGTGCAGTATGAACAAAGAACAAAAGACAAACCATTAGCAGTAAAAGTCAATGAATCTTTTCATGTTTGGAATTTTTATGAAAGGTTTTGTCAAAAATGAAGTTTGAATTAGCTGAGAGAAATTCCAGCGTGCAATCTGATAATGTGGGCGATTAAGCCAATAACACCAGCAGAGCACAGTCTGAGCAGACAGATTGGACTGTTCACACCCACACACACACACACACACACACACACACACACACACACACACACACACACACACGCACGCACGCACACACACAAACACACACACTCTCTCTCTCTCTCTCTCTCTCACATGCACTCACACACTCAGCCTGTCAGTGTATACTGTAATTATTCTCAATGCAAAGAAATCACTGTGCTACATGACACACTACTAGATTCTTTGCACTGTTATAATCTACAATCTAACCTTTAGATTTAACTGTTATAAATCTACAATCAAACGTATTCTATTCTATTCTATTCTATTCTATTCTATTCTATTCTATTCTATTCTATTCTATTCTATTCTATTCTATTCTATATTTGACTTTCAACACACAGTATTATCTTTTTTATTTATTTTTTAGTATTACCATTACTATTTTTATTATAGCCATTACTTTTAAAACTATTTGACATTTAATTTGTATTCCATATTCATCTTTATTTTAATATTGCATTCATCTGCATTTATGTTTATAAGCTGTGAAATGAAAGCCTCAGTTTGGTGCGGCCGATCACACTGAACACTCTTTTCCTTTCCAAAAACGCAAGGCGCACCACACTGCCTTTTTTGTTGACACGAAAGAAAAATAAAGCACGGTGCTTTTTTATGTCACTAGGAAACAACTGAATCAGCTGGGTATTGTGCACGAGTATAGCTGTCCACAATGTTATAATTGGAATAACATTGTAATACTCAAGATTTGTAAAGTAATACAGCTCTAGATGACTTGAAACAGTGACCACTAGTCTCTCCTCCATCTTTAAAAGTTCTCCGTAGTCATCTTGACAACAAAAACACTGCAGGCACCTCAAGGGAAACCCCACCTCTGTTTCTATTTGATTGAAGAATGAAAAAGCGCAAAAAAGCGAGGTTTACAGGGTGCCTAAGCAGTGTGCAAAACACTATTCAAAAGATGCACCCCTTAATACAAAAATCATGTTCGCTGTGATCGGCCCCTTATGCAGCCAGACATTAAAAATATATAAAATAATACTTTTAATCGCTTAACTGATACTATTAATCGGTTAAAAGCGCACCTTTTTGGTTAAATTAGCATTTTGCTATAACTATGCATCTTACCTACAGTATGATTGAAATGGGTTAATTTCTTCTTTATTTTTTGTACAAAATCAAATAAGCATATCTACACTTATATTTTATTGCATACCATTCATTGTACTCTTCAAAAACTTCATTTTGTAAAATATTTTAGACTTTTGTTTTGGAATGTTAAACTGAATTATAGACTGAATTAAAAATTTTATAAAAATTTAAACTGTCTATTCAATTATTCTATACACATCCTTTGTAAATGTTCGAATAATGTTATAATAGAAATATTATTGTAAAGTTATTTGCTAATTTCAATGTTAAATTCAAATATATATATATAAAATGTATACAGTTGAAGTCAGAATTATTAGCCACCCTTTGAATCTTTTTTTTTCTTTCTTTTTTTAAATATTTCCCAAGTTATGTTTAACAGAGCAAGGGAATGTTATGTATGTCTGATAATATTCTTTCTTCTAGAGAAAGTCTTATTTGTTTTATTTCGGCTAGAATAAAAGCAGCTTTTTATAAAAAAGAAAAATTCAAAACTATTAGCCTCTTTAAGCTATATATTTTTTCAATAGTGTACAGAACAAACCATCGTTATACAATAACTTGCCTGATTACCCTGCACAGTTAACCTAATTAACCTAGTTAAGCATTTAAATGTAACTTTAAGCTGTTTAGAAGTGTCTTGAAAAAGATCTAGTAAAATATTATTTACTGTTTTCATGGCCAAGATAAAATAATTCAGATGAGCTATTAAAACTATTTTGTTTAAAAATGTGTTGAAAAAAATCTTCTCTACATTAAACAGAAATTGGGGAAGAAAATAAACAGGGGGGCTAATAATTCTGACTTCAACTGTATATAAAATTATTCTTTTCTATTATCTAGCTTTTAATAATTTATTAGCTTGGTTAAAATGTACTGTTCCGTTCTATTCTATTCTATTCTATTCTATTCTATTCTATTCTATTCTATTCTATTCTATTCTATTCTATTCTATTCTATGCCCTGAAAACTTTTAGTAAACAATTTTAATCTTTTTAAAAATAATCCTTTCATATAAATATTATGAATAATGTCCACTAAATTGAAGCATAGTACTTTTTGTATAGTGAATTGCAACTAGATTTCTTAAAAAATATCCAGAAATTATAGACATATTTTATATTGTTTTATCTGTTTATTCGGGGCGACGTGGGTCAGATGGTGTTTCTGAGTAAAGTTTGCATGTTCTCCCCGTGTTTACATGGGTTTCCTCCGGGTGCTCCGGTTTCCCCCACAAGTCCAAAGAGATGTGGTATAGGTGAGTTGGGTAGGCTAAATTTGTCTGTAGTGTACGTGTGTGAATGAGTGTGTAAGGATGTTTCTCGATGGGTTGCAGCTGGAAGAGCATCCGCTGCGCAAAACATGTGCTGGATAAGTTGGCGATTCATTCCGCTGTGGCGACCCCGTATTAATAAAGGGACTAAGCCGAAAAGAAAATGAATGAATGAATATTTCTTTATTCATCATTTTGTTTACACACAGAATCAAATTGTCTTCTCCAAAAAAAAAAAGCTAATCTCATCTATTTCATTCTACAGTGCTTTAGTTCCTATGATGTATTTCACTCTTTTTTCTCACACTAAAAAATAAAGCATGGATCAAATTCTGGGTAAACAGAAGTAGCAGTGGTTGTGTGATACTCACAGCAGTGGCGATGACGGGCCGCACCTCAGAGAGGAAGGCCCGCCGTGGGCTGGAGGGTGTGCTGCGTGACAGGAAACTAGGTTTGACAGACAGGAGCTCTACCTTTTCCCCCTCAGTCATCTGCAGAGGCCGGATGAGCTCCGAGATCTTACTCATCGAATCCTCATTACCTTCATAACACACACACACACACACACACACACATATACACAAAGGTGACTGATTACTTCATTACTGCGTATAACCACATCCTCCTCCTTCCGTCATCATCACCGCTGGTTTATCAGAGCAAACTTCAAAAGAGTTTCCTTGCACCTTGATAGCAAGATACTTGATAACAGGGATGGGCAAACTCCATCCTGGAGGGCCGATGTCCCGCATGGTTTTGCTAATCAAACACACCTGCCTGTAGCTTTCTAGTGATCTTGAAGACACTGATTAGGGTGTTCAGGTGTGTTTGATTAGTGTTGAAGCAAAACTCTGCAGAGACACCGGCCCTCCAGGATCAAGCACATGCCTGCTGTATAATGTGAGAAAGGGAGAGGATGAAAATAATAACCTGAAGATGAACAATTGTGAAGTGCACAATAATCAACTGATATCTTGATTAAAACACAAACAACATACTATATTCAATTTCAAAAATTTGGGGTCAGGCATCTTTTTTTTCATAATTTGCTCAAAAATAAAGCAAAGCAGTAATATTTTTGGAATATTTACATTACATTTACAAATATACTTTATTTATTTGATGGCAAAGTGTAATATTCAGTGATCTCGGTTTCAGTCATCACTCAACTGTATGTATATATTTGTAGGGGGAAAAATATTCTCCTGTTTTTATTTTACTTCTGGTGAAAAAAAATATACATTTTAAGGTCAATATTATTATTATTATAAATTCAATACTTTCCTAGTTAACCTAATTAGCATATTTAAGTCATTAAGCTGAATGCTAGTATCTTGCAAAATAACTTTAAAACAAAATCATTAAAACTTCAAATGAAAATATATACAATAAACACAACTTATTTTCAAGCTAAATAACTTTTAGCTTTAGAATTATAAAGATTATAGCCGATTATAAAGATTATATTATATATTCAGTGGCATACTATATTTAAAGGGCACCTATTTTACCCCTTTTTCAAGTCTTCTGTTTCTCCAAAATGTGTCTGTAATGTTTCAGCTCAAAACACTCATCAGATTACTTATTATACCTTTAAGAATATTAGGATTTTCTGCTTTGAACACAATTTAGCTTTTTGTGTTGCCTGGGCCTTTAAATCTAGTTCTCTTACCGCCCACTGTTCACATGTGCCTGTCAGAGTGTACTTCAATCTCTACCTCAGCAGCGTCAGATAAACAGCACAGTGACAAACATGAAGGAAGCAGATCTCACATAACTTTTGTGAGAAATTCTACAGTAAGAACTTTCCCAATGATTATTTGATGTATTTGTTGTGGAGTTGCAATGATGATTCACACACAATGTCTTTACAAACACACACAGCAGATACACACACACACAGCTCACATGTTTACTTTGCAACCAAATGTTACAGGATACAGGTTAATGGACTGCTGTATGGAAATCTGCTTTGATAATGTACAAAATAAACCTGATTTGATGTCCACAAACCAGGATTAAAGCATCTTCTTTTATAATTGTACTGACATGTGGCTGTGGTGATAAAGATGCTAAAATCACTGTAATTCATTACAAACACTGTTTTGAAAATGTTTTAAATTTGTAAAACTCATTCTTGATCACATATGAAGATGATTGATGACCACAGAGAGCTGAACAGATCTTTTAATCCCAGTTGCTTTGCACACGTCCTGTCTTGTTGATATGATAATACGTGTTACTACAGAGACATGTTAATACCGGGCTGTCAATCAATTTGGTGGGTGGGGAAAACCACACTCCTACGTCATGTTGCGATGGGCCTCAAAATGGAAGGGATTTTGAGTCTTTTAATGACACTTATTGTCTTTATATCACCCCAATATGACTGTGGACACACTATAGCTACATACAGTTCTGTCCAAACAGCTTATAAAATATGATTTTCATTATAGGTCAATTAAAATTACAAGTAAGTCAAAAGTTATTTTAAGACTTGCTTAAAAAAAAGTCCATGAAAATGAAACGAAAAAAGATGTTCAAATGTTTTGAGGTCCATTTATTAAATTTACTATACACCTATAAATTAATTATAGTTTACAATAAATCAAATAATAATACAATTTCTAATATGACTTTCACCCTCACATTCATAATCAAAACAAACCATATTATGCCACTACATAACTCAGGTAGATATTAAAGGAAGTTTGAGCAGAAGATGTGTAGTGTACAGTACCTTTCCCTGAGGGGGCAGTGAGGCCATTGAGGAGTTGGGAGAGGGTAAGGGGTTTGGTGGGTGAGCCGGGCGAATCGCCACCTGTCAACTGGCTGCTGCTCAAGATGTCCAACTTCCCAGCCTGCAGCCTGAACTTCTCTAGCTCTTTTGAAAGCAGGTTAAACTGCTCACTCTGCGTCCGGCATTTTTCCTCCAGTTCTCTCACTTTAGCCTGGAAAGTAAAAAGAGAGAGAAAGAGAGCGAAAGAGAGAAAAAAAAGATATAGAAAAGAATAAGACTTGCATGAAAAACACACATAATTGCATGACATTTAAAATTGGTAACAGCTGTTATTAACATCTAAGCTTCACACTGATAATGAAAGCCTGTTTTCGCCACAGGATGAAAAAATTATTGTGATTTTTCTTTTATCTCAAAAGTTTGGCTTTCTGAGTAAAATTGATCAGAATTGTTATATTTGAACTGAAAACTCCAATATATAAACCTTTGAAATGATAGTAAAAATCTGTACATTCATAAAAAATCATTTGATATATGAATTGTAAGTTAAAATGTTGGGATACAAAATGGGGCTTTGAGTTTACCGAATAAGTAACACATTCTAAGAGACACAGTAAGTTTATGAATTCTCAATTCATATCTCACTAGTTCTTATTTATTCTTAGAAAAGCAAGTATTTTTTTTAGAATTGCAAGTTACATTACAATTCTTACAGCGTGTCTTAACAATATAATCAAGCTACCAGTGACAAGCAATCTGGGTGCCCACACAAGATTAAATACCAGCCCTTTAGGATAGTGATCTACACTCCCAAACAAAATGGTAAGGTAATGGTATGGTATATTCTAATTAATACATATTAAACCTATTTTAACATTCATAAAAGTACATGCTAAGTGACTGACATTTGTTGGTTTGCACTGAATCACAGTACTAATGTTCACTTTCAATCTTTATATTTGCTAGTAATTTTATTATCAGGATTTGAGTTGAACTATCTGCCTCCACTTTCAGTATGGCAAATAAATATCATGTAACATGATAGGCAAACTAAAGGTCCTGAATTCCTACGAGGTTTTATTCCGCACTTAATGGCTTCTGCCGTATATTCAGCCTTTGTTCAGCTGCTTAGAATAATTTTCTACCCAACCTTTCCCGATAAGTTTACATCTGGTTTCCAAAATCTCACGTTTAAAGTGGATATATACTAAAAGAGGGAAATAACAGATAAAACTGTAGGTTATGCAAGGATTGTAGGCTATATGTCAGTTTTGTTCGCCCCTTTGTGATGAGACATGACTGCCACCTTAAACCTGAGGTTTCAGACTTGTGACTGCTAATGTGTAAAACTTTGAGGTATTATCACATTGCGCAAAGGGTCATTTTTTTCCATTGTGTCTATGACGCATGAAAATGACTCTCTCATACACCAGAGTTGCTTGATATGGGCTTCCTAACAGTAAATTGACCTTTTTCTAATGCAAGCTGACGGCGCATGTTCACTTTTCTCTCCTGTGTTGGTAAAGCCCTCTCTAAAGAAACATTGTACAGATGATGCATGCACAGACTGTGCGAATAAAATGAATGTGCAGTAAGCACTGGTCCATGCGTTCAGCATGTGTAACAGTCGTGAGCATTGACTGTAACGGCCAATTAGCATTGGCTGTCACCGACTGATATCGCATTTTATTCAGAAATTTATTCTCAGGCCGCAAGAAATCTGATTGGGTCTCATGGCTCCTGCGGTTGTGCCATACAGACCTCTAGTGCAAACTCACATTGGTAGCATTTAACACTGAATAAACTTAATCAGCACCTGAGGTGATCCTTGTCATTGTAGTTTATGTGGTTGTTCAGACGCAACTATTTACATGCCATATATATCTTCTAGGCGACGCAGTGGCGCAGTAGGTAGTGCTGTCACCTTACATCAAGAAGTTCGTAGTGATAGGTTGGCATTTCTGTGGAGTTTGCATGTTCTCCCTGCGTTCGCGTGGGTTTCCTCTGGGTGCTCCGGTTTTTCCCACAGTCCAAAGACACACGATTGTCCGTAGTGTATAAGTGTGAATTAGTGTGTATGGATGTTGCCCAGAGATGGGTTGCTGCTGGAAGGGCATCCGCTGCGTAAAACATATGCTGGATAAGTTCATTCCGCTTTGGCGACCACAGATTAATAAAGGGACTAAGCCGAAAAGAAAATGAATGAATGAATGTATATATATTCTAAAATAGAAGTTATAATAATAAATGAAAGTAGAAATAAAAGTTAGGACACAGTGTTAGAGTAATTCCGTTTATATCACACAATTCAACCTTTTTAAAAAGGTTGTTTTTTTGTTTCTTGAAATTCTTCAATAGCAATTCTATTCTTCAATAGCAATTCTACCTATTTTCTTCAAATCTATATTTTTATCATAAAATTGCAAGAAATCAAAGAAATGTATTTTGTATAGATTCTGAGATTTTCAAATTGCATCGCTATTTTCTCTTAAAATGATTCTCAAACTAGTTTTTAACAGCTGATGGTGCTGTGTGCTTTCCAAACGACCATACTCTGCTTGCATCCAATTCCTTACAAATACCACATGAAACTAAAAAGATCATTAATAAAGTTAGGAAAGATTCAAGTGAATTACAAAAGGAGTCATAGTGAACGTGTTTAGGTTAATCTAGTGACATAAAAAGCGTATGGTTGAAAACTAGCCTAGAGTGCCATCTGCTGCTAAAAACTACGCTTAGAATCAATTCAAGAGAAAATATTAATGCATTTTAGTAACCTCAAAATCGATTTCTCAAATTTTTCACCAGAGCTCTAACTACAAGACACAATGTTATTGAAATTCTATGCAGAAAAGTCTGAACTGTGAGATATAGACTTGTAATAGCAAGAAAAAATCTGATCTACGTTTTCTTTTTATTCTTAATCCCATGGCAGAAACAAGCTTCCATATTGACTAACCGATAAACGCTAACAAATGAAGCCATCTCTACCAACTTTGAATGCGTTAAGCAACCAACAAACAATACTACAAAAACAACGGCCTACATCTAAAAGGAGGTTTTTCCTACCAAAAATCTCATTGTGTTCTTAGTGCGAAGGACACTTCTCAGCTTCAACAGAATCAAACAAAGACAGCAGTCAATCTATGTTAGCTGGTATTGTACAACAAATCCCGTTTTGCTCATGATGTTAATGATGGAAAGGAGGGTACCAAACATGCTAAAATAACAATAAAACCTCTTATGCTTAATGATTGGATGGAACTCACATGAATAGTACATCGAGGATCATGTGAGTTTGCATTTTAACATGGTACCTGCTATACTTACGATGTGTCAAGTATGCTATGTTTATGCACATTTAGATCACACAATTGACTGAATGGGGCTTTTTGGGTGAGGAAATTAAAGGGGGTGGTGAAAGGAGGACATGTCACGTTCTGCAATCCGTCAGTCATGTTTATTTTGTCTGATCTGATCTGCAAACGCACATATCCATGAGGCGCTAACAGGACTCATGCATCGCAACACAACAGAAGGTCAGGCAGTGAATGAGAAATCTTCACCACTGAGTACAAACAGACGACAGAATTTTTTTTAGCTTTTTCATTTTAACATGCCCTCGACTACAAGCTGCCCTTAACTTCATTTATCTCCAATGTTTAAGCTTCTGCATTACATAAAAAGCCTCTCAAGAGGAATAATAAAAAAATATGAATTAGGGTAAAATAAATAAATAAATGTACATTTAGTGTTTTAACTAATGCATAAACTAATGAATACATTTTATTCATTAGTTTATAGATTGCAGAATGTATTTTGTTTTTGGATGGAAACAATGACATGTAATTTTTAATTTATATAAAAAAACTGGAAAAAAAAATCATGCCATTAATGTTAAATGGTTTACAATAAAATAATAACACTCCCCAAATAATAAAAAACTGCATAAAAAATACAATATCAAAACCACTTTAATGAAATTTAAACGCAATTACTTTTAACCCATAAATATTGATGTTTTCAATTAATAAGTACACACACACACACACACACACACACACACATATATATATATATATATATATATATATATATATATATATACTAATTAATATATCTGCACCAAAATGAAAATAATAAGCCCAAACCAAAAGTTCTGAATGTCCTTGAACTGAAAAGTAAACCAAATATGACTTATTTATAATAATAAAAAATAAAAACTTCTTATATTATATTTAAATGTTTTATAAAGGGACCCACACATATGTTTGAACACATAAACACCTATTTTATGTAATACGTATTTTATGTAATACATATAAAATAATTAGTTTAGCTTTGCAGACAAGCAAGCTGTAACCTTTTCATATATTTTCACCATTTATTAAACACATAACTTCAGTCAGGAATGTATAAAATGGCTATGGAAAAGACTGGGCTCAATCATTTGATCTATGGCGATATAGATCAAAGGTATTGATCAATCATGGACATGAACGGTACAGTATTGACAGGACAGCTAAAAACGAGGTGACAGGAGTCACACAGGGAGGAGAGGAACAACTTTGAGGAGAAGTAACTCGAAAATACCTGCATGCTGTCCAAGTGATTCTGTATATGCAAAAAAAAAAAAAAAAAGACCAGTAACATAGTGACAAGAGATGCAAGAAACCAAACAAATCACAGTTGCACTCATGAGCATTTCTTCAGAAGTCACAGAGAGCTGGCATAAATACAGTTTTCCTCCAGTTTTCGTAAATTGCCAACTAATGGCAGCAATGAATGAAAAGAACAAAGCAGAATATGGTAAATGAATCACAAATGCATGTTCGTTTAAAACTTTCAATAATGAAGCTGGTTATCAAATACATTTATAAAAACATTTATTTAAAGCTGCAGCCTTTTTTTATCCCCATGTCTTTGGAAGTTGAAATTGCAGTTAATTGCAATATGATTGCGGATGAATCTTGAATTTTATTTATACAATTAAGTCAACACATGCATACATTGGTATTTTTATAAATGAAAAAAAAATAGTTCTGTCTAATTGAAAATGCACCATCGATAGCATGCAAAACCAGGTGGCAGTTAAAACATTATGAATAAAGCAATTTTGGCCAATTAATAGCTTGCAAGAAAGCGGTGCATAATCTTTGGTTAAACAAAAGAGGAAACGACTCGCAAGATAACCTGACAATGTGTTTGAATCTAGATGAATGCATACACTGTGTAGAAAAACTGGATTTTTAAAGATTCGTGTTGACAGGGCCTAAGTAGCATGCCTGAAATTTCTGTTCCGATCAACTTAGAGGCTGGAATCAATCATTTAGACTAACGATGGTGATTTAAAGTGCCTTTGTAAATTGATTCAATAAGTTAAAATCTATTTTTGTATTTACATAGTGGTTATGTGGCTTAGGTAATGTTTTGCCTTTAGGGCAAAATGTTTTTATATGCTCATTTGAATTACAGAAATACAAAACAAAACTACAGCTTCTCCTAAAATTTAAAGTTCAGCTTTGACCATTTTTAAAATGGCCATGAATATTAATGAGCTCTGCTTCGCAGCTCATATCAGTGTCTCCTCTCTCTTACAAACAAACAGAATGTAATTTACTCTAAAATAAATACCTGCAAAATAATTATACTTAATTCGTCCAAATATATTTAACATATCGAGCAAATTCCTTCTTATATATTTTCAAAATTGAAGTGGTGTATGCTTGACAAATATAACTGAAAGATGTATTTAGCTTTGTATTTTGAAGTTTTAACGTATATGAAAACATACATGAAAATGGGCAGGAATTAATATCAACCTCTGTATAATCTGTTGTTTGTTGGTATCCTTAAACTCAAGAAAAATCACAGTAAGAGCGGAGTGATGTAATTTGATGCATAAAAACGCATTAAACAGCAGTATATTCTGCATTTACATGAGTTTGTTGCTTCATCACAAATGGAAATAGGAAATTGTTACAATATAAAATAACAAAAAGTACATTTAAACAGACCTTATGCCTGTTCTCTGGCGCTGAATAAATTTATAATCCGTATATCCAGCATTTTGTGTTCTGATGCATTATGATAAGATGTCTGGCTGAGAAGACACTGTCTTTTAAAACTCTGAACAGTATTCTTTGAGTGTACACGCACGAGCGACTCCATTCAACATCTGTTCGCATTGTTTAGCAATGTACAGAAAATTATTTAAGGAATGTAAATGCTATAAATTATCCATGTGATTACGCCTAATTGGGTTATTTGTATGTATGCAGATGTGATGCAAAGGTTAATGGCAGAAACATTCCAATACCACTTACAGTTGAAGTCAGAAATATTAGCCCCCCTGAGTTAATAGCGCCCCTGTTTATTTTTTTCCCTAATTTCTGTTTGAGGGAAAGATTTTTTAACACATTTCTAAACATGATAGTTTTAATAACTCATTTCTAATAACTGTTTTATTTTATCATTGCCATGATGACAGTAAATAATATTTTACTAGATATTTTTCAAGACATTTCCATACAGCTTAAAGTGACATTTAAAGGTTAAACTAGGTTAATTAGGTTAACTAGCGCAGATTAGGGTAATTAGGCAAGTTATTGTATAATGATGTTGTTCTGTAAACTATCGGGAAAAAATATTGCTTAAAGGGGCTAATAATTTTGACCTTAAAATGGCTTTTAAAAATTTAAAAACCCTTTTTATTCTAGCCGAAATAAAACAAATAAGACTTTCTCCAGAAAAAAAAATATTATCAGACATACTGTGAAAATTTCCTTGCTCTGTTAAACATCATTTGGGAAATATTTAAAAAATAAATAAAGGGGGGCGAATAATTCTGACTTTAATCAGAAAACATAATTAGACACTTACCATTGTGAACCAGGTCAGAATATTTAAACACAGACTGGTTATGTACTTGCTAATATATTTATATTTTAACAAAAAGTTATAGACTGCAGCTTTAATAAATTAGTTTGAATAACTTAAAATGTCATAAAAAGGTGTAGGCAAAGACATGACTCATATAGTAGCCAGATTTTTGGCTAATATAAGAAATGATATGATGACGCATGTGGAATGTTCTGCATTTTTAGCTAAGATATGATTTAAAAAGCATGCAAATGTGCACACTCACACACACATGCACTAGCACTGATGAGTAAACATGGTTGCTCACCTCTAACAGATGGACGGCACCTTCATGTTCCTTCTTAGCCTCAACCTGAGCCTGTAAAGCACACAAAAATAAGACATGACGTCGTTAATGTCACTGGAGTGCTCTTTATGAAAGTCAAGGCCAAAAATATTCCTACATGTTCCCAAATCTGTCTACCAGCAGATCGGCTCATCTTCTGCAAGCTGCTCCAAATCTCTCAGATCCACTGCAGTTGTAAGATCTCTCCAAGAGTTTTCATCGGCATTTACAGTAGATCCAAATTCATTCTTTGACAACTGTGAACAGTACAGTCATGTGCTTTTTAATGATTTCCAGTAGCGTTATCAAGAGTTAGTTTTTTATTTTTATATTTTTCTTTTCATCTTTTTTGTGCTGTATTGCTTTGTCTACACAGCTTTTATTCATTTTTATTGAGTTTAATTCATTTTAGGTTTAAATTAAAAAAAGGACAAAACTAATTTGCAACTTCCTAAAATGTGAGATATTTAGTTTTATGTTCATTTAACTATTAACTTAAAACTATTGTGTAATATTAGCAATCACAGCAGTGGGTGTTTACTTGAAAATAAGCGAAATGACTTCCTTTGTTTAAATTATTTTCAGTGAATAAGGTTGCTAAATTATTAATATTTTAATTATTTTTTAAAAATACAATAAAAATATATATACAGTCAAGCCCAAACTTATTCATACGCCAGGGGTTGACTTTGCATAACTACTATTATTATTAGTAGTATTACTATTATTATTATTATTAATATTATACATTCATTTATACATTCATTTTCTTTTCGGCTTAGTCCCTTTATTAATCTGGGGTTGCCACAGCGGACCCAAATACCTTCTTATATCTTTTCAAAATTGAAGTGGTGTATGCTTGACAAATGGAACTGAAAGATGTATTTCGCTTTGCATTTTAAAGTTTTAACCTCTGTATGAACTGATGTTTGCTGGTGTCCTTAAACTCAAGAAAAATCACAGTAAGAGCGGAGTGATATGACATAATGCATAAATATGCATTAAACAACAGTATATTCTGCATTTACATGAGTTTGTTGCTTCATCACAAATATACATGGACATTTTTACAACATAAAATAACAAAAAGTACATTTAAACAGACCTTATACCTGTTCTCTGGCGCAGAATAAATTTATAACCCGTATATCCAGCATTTTGTGTTCTGATGTGATTTGAATGGGTGTCTGGCTGAGGAGACACACTGTCTTTTAAAACTGAAACGCGGAATGAGACGCCAACTTATCCGGCATATGTTTTTACTCAGCGGATGCCCTTCCAGCCGCAACCCATCTCTGGGAAACACCCATACACACTCATTCATACACATAAACCCATGCGAACTTAGGGAGAACATGCAAACTCTACACAGAAAGGCCAACTGACCCAGCCGAGGCTCAAACCAGCAACCTTCTTGCTGTGAGGCGACAGCACTACCTACTGCGCCACTGCGTCGCCCCTATTATTATTATTATTATTATTATTATTATTACTATTATATAGTTACTTCGCAAACTAACTAACTACACAATAATATTATATACAGTTAAGCCAAAAATAATTTATACCCCAGTATAAATAATTTCGGGCTTGACTGTACATATTATTATTATTATTATTATTATTGTTAGTTAGTTTGCAAACTAACCTCAACAAATATACAAATACTTGGAACTGCATTTAACGAACATTTTAACGCTGATTTGCAATTCAAAACATGAAAAAAAAACTGAATTCTAATTAGTTTTATGTAAATTTGTGAAGAGTCTGGTTGAATAAGCTTTAGGTATGAAGGACTGTAGGGTTATTGATTGTACTTCTGTGCAGCTGTGGAGAACAGGGTTCAGTTCCACATGAACAGAGGAACATCTGTTTAAACGTCACGACACGAGAAAACCTTTCAGAGACATGCATGCAGACAAACTCTTCTGATGAGGGCCATTGTGTATGTCATTTCCTCAGTGTTTATTCTGCTCTGTGATCACAGCGCTCTATTCAATAAAGACAGACAATAACTCAAACGCTTCATCTCGCGTTCCACAGAAAATGTCAGATCTGATCACCTGCTCTGCCGTTTCATTAGAGTCATTTACTCTGAACGGTGACACAGCAGCACTTTTGTCTTCATGAAAATGAAAGGAATTTTTCACAGAGTTATGTCAAACTGCAGAAACACTTTTTCAATAAACATCTCTCTTCATTAGGAGACATTTGACAACTCGATTTTATTACTGTGTTTCTTTAACTTCAGCCATTTGTTTTGTCACAGAGTTCATTTACAAAAAAAAAAAAAAACTCTTTTTGTTTCATTATATTGAGATTTTTTAAACTGATCTTGGAACTATTTTACAATGCAATATCATTAATGTTTTCAAAACCCCTCATACTGTACACAAACCTGGTAGTGTTTTAAATTACATCCTGTTTTGCTTTGTTTAACTTGATATGCATAAATAACAAAACCACAATATACCTACTACAATTTTAATTATGACTTCAAATGTAAAATAGAAAAAAAAAATCACAACTATTTAAAATAACACAGAGTGAGACCAGTTGCATTTTGTATAACATTTTTACAAATGAATAATCTTTTTTACTTTGCTTCAAACTAGAGTTTACCCATTTGTCAGCAATACATTTAATAACATAATAAAATTTAGCATAATCACTATTTTTTATATATATTTTATTAGGTAAAGGCAAGTCTTAAAATGTATATATTTTTATATATTTTTCATATTTTTTATATTTCTTTATTAAAATAATAATGAAGAAAAGTTAAACTATACAAACATCTGAACAAGTTTCAAAGTAATTGCACCTCATTTCATACTACCCATACCCATTTTAATAATTGTTTTGCATGAATTGTTTTATGTTCTCAGGGCTTACCAGTACACTATAGTACACTGTTGGGGGGGGTTGTTAGGGGTTTAAATTTTCCTGGGTTTGCACCCATAACGATTATGTTTCGTAGTCACGTCACGCCGAAACGGCTAAAGACTTGTTATGAAGACGATTTATTCTAACCACAATGAGTCGACTCTTTTTTTAGATGCATCAATAGTTTTAAAAACTGTCTTTCAGATTTAAGCCTTAGCTGGATATTTCACTTCACTTAGATCTGTGTTACGCACTACATGGAAGATCATTTTCGAAAACCCACAACAGGGGCTCTTTAACCCAACCATCACAGTTATTAACATCTACACCTTCCCCAAACCAAAACCCAACCATCATAGTTAATGTCTACACCTCCCCCAGCTCTTAACCTAACCATCATCGAAATTAACATCTACACCTTCCCCAAATCAAAACCCAACCATCATAGTAAATGTCTTTTTTTTTTTTTTGGACTTTTGATACCAGGGCTGCAGCAGGCACAATGATATTACCCAAGGCTTCAAAATAGTCCCAAGCAAAGTAACTAGGTAACAGCTCTGGGTAATATCATTGCTGCAGCCATGGTACAGCAGCAAAGATCTTTGATTATTACTCCAGAATGAGAGTATGGTTGTTGTAAGTATCTATGTCATTAGACACTGGTACCTTTACGCTGCTTTGAAATGATCCACTGTCTGTCTATCTGTGTTTGCACTTGGTGAACAGCAATGACGAGTTGACCTTCACGGCCAATCACAGTCATTTCTATTAAGTACATGAACCCAATGACCAATCAGCTTTGTTTAAATATGCACTCAACTGTGCTTAAATGTTTGCGGGAAATGACGTTTGTAAATATTCTGTACCGATTGGTTCCAGACTCAATATTTTTGACAATACTTTCTTTCTGTTCCTTTAACCATCCACACCAGCTTGAACCAGTCTGAAACCAAGTAAAAATCATCTACTGTATCAGCAGAATGTGCTCTAAATTAATGACTTCTGTTTAATCATCCACCAGAAACCTTGTCATTTGAGACACGACACGGGGTCTTCTGCAGTGGATCCTGGGGTCTGGTGTGGCCTCTCACCTTCTGCAGAAGGTCAATCTCCTGCTGCTTGGCACTGAGGACGGCCAATGCTTGTTCATGCTCTAATTCTAGCTGCTGCCTCCTCTCCGCAGCCTCTCGCATATGCTGGAAAACACAGAAGAGAGAGAGAGAGAGAAAGCAGGAGGACAGAATGAGAGCATCCATCAATCATTCATAAAGGGACAGCTCACCCAAAAAAAGAAAACCATCTTATCTTTTACTCACCCTCATGATGACTTACTTTCTTGAATGGAACGCAAAAAGAAGATATTAAGAAGAATGTCCAAGCTGCTTTTGTTTTCATGCAGATGAAAGCAGATGAGGACCAGCAATCATTAGCTATTGAGTTTTATAGTAAAACAGCAGCTTAGACATGCTTGTTGAGAACTACTTTTTGTTCTATACAGGGAACAAGAAAACTGAAATGATTGTATTTTTGCATTTAGACAGCCATTAGGGTGAGTAAATGATCAAATATTCACTTTTGGGTGAAGCAGGTCCTTTAAATGCTTTTTAGGTCACAACGAAAAGCTGTTTAAACTCTCCAAAGGAGTCTCTGCACTAAACTACAGACCCTCTTTTTATATCAGCTTATAAAAGATCATCGGTCTCCAGGAGCAGCAGAAACAGAGATTCCTTGTAATCCTTTGGTATCTGATCTAAACGCTAAGATTTCAGTCTTCTCTGAGCACATCAGCTCAGAATTAGGGGCCATTCACTCTGAACATTCTTGTGCATTCCTTTGCACTTATTTTCTACTGTTTGTTATGTGTAAACTGAATGACACAGCATTTCTTTGCGTGATTACATTAATTATTTTAGCAAAGATAATGAAGATACAACTATAAATGAACAGATTAGAGTAAATGTAGTCTAAGTTTAAGCATTTTATTAGCTAAGCTGTGATTATACACTGATACACTGCCTGTTAAATGTATAATAAATATGCATTCAGTCCCTGATTCATAACTGTGATTTTCAACAAGTTTGTCCTCTCCTTCTTTTTTTTTTTTACCTTTAACCAGAGGTTGCCACAAACATAACGTTGCAACAGAATATTCATTCTTAAAACTTTGAGTGATGGTTTCTCAGTTAAGTATATATTATTATTTCTAAAAAAATAAACAGGAATTTAATGCATTTTAGGCTGTTATTTGTAATCATAGTAGCATGTACTATTTGCAACAGGCAAGTATTTGGGCTCCCTGTATACAGTCAAAACATGACGCTCAAAAGTAAGTCCAAAGCACTAAAAAATGTGGAAACATATTAAAAAGCCTTTATTTACATGGCTATTCTGGCATATTCTGATGAATCTCTTACCCAAAAAGAGCACCGATACATTAATTAAGGTACCCCTGAGTACTTTTTGTTTGATTTTGGACTAAAAACAATTATGTTTTGTGTTTGTTCAAACTATTTAGTTAAAATGATCTGAAAAAATGCAATTATTATTATTTTGTTGTTGTTGTTGGGGCAACTTAATTGTTTTATGTTCAATCCACTTAAATTTATAAAAACTAATAAGTTAATTTAATTCCTTCATGTTGTCCCAACAACAATCTATTGTGTTGAACCCAGCAGGTGTATTTTACAGTATGTATCATAGCATTAAAGGGATAGTTCACCCAAAAATGAAAAATTCTGCCATCATTTACACACTGCTGGAAACTTGTAACCGCTGACTTCCACAGTATTTGTTTTTCCTACTGTACGGATATCATTGGTTACAGGCTTCCAACATTCTTTAAATATATTCTTTAGTGTTCAACTGAACAAAAAAAATAAATCTAACTGATTTGAAACAGATCACGAGTACGAAAAGGGTGAGAGAATTTTCATTTTTGGGTGAACTATCGCTTTAATCACTGGTTTTTATCGCTGATTATTATTATTATTATTTTAATTCTTAATTTTTTTATTTAATAACTTTTGTTTAAAGACAGAGTCACAATTTATATAGTAGATAAACAACAAAAAAAGAGTAATATTATGTTTAGTTTTTCCCTGTTTCTAAATTCTAAACCCAGGTACAAACCGAACCACCATTTTAGGTACTGCCACAACTAGCAAACTCATATTCAGTGTGAATGATCTCTTTTAACTGTAAATGAACATTCTTACACCTTGGAAACATATGTCCAAGCTTAATATGTATATTTTTAAAAGAACAGCACATCCAAAATTCATTCTGAGTCATCCTGAACCCATATGCTGTTGCCTTTAATGAATATTCAGTGAATAATGGTTAAACGGTTTCATGAAAACTATCTGCACTACCAAAAAAACATAAAAGATAGCATATTATCTGCACTACAATGACAGCATATGGGTTTGAAATGACACAAGCGTGAGTAAATGATGACAGAATCGTCATTTTTGGGTGAACCATCCCTTTAAGCGCTGCAAACAAGAGCAAAATGTTGTCGTCAATCAGGTTTGTGTCATTTGCTTCACCCCTTCAGGTAAAGCAAAAACAGAAGTGAAGCATCATGTCAATCAGCCAGGCTGAGCACAACCATGGAGTTCTGCATGATCAATAAAGGGCTTAGGGTCATGGCTTCGTACATGAAAGGGTGTGTGCAAACAACACGGCATGTTCAATCAGCGCCAATTACTGGCCAACAACATCCCCAGAAGCTCGTCTGACCTGCTAAAATTATACAGTGACAAAGCCTAGCAATTTCCTTTCCATTTGTGACAGGTGAGGTTACAGGGGATAAAGGGTAAAGGAGGGATTTTTCCATGCTGTTATGAAAGAGGAGTGCAGGAAAGAGAAAGGTTAGACTAGTCTAACCTTCAGCAGGTAAACAAACTGTACTGTGTGTGAAATATGTTATGGCTATATGATCAGACTGATCTGAAAGTAAATAAGTACTTCATTTTAGGTTATCAAGTAACAGCTATTATATAGCTTAATGGTTATAACATGGTTATATTTAAGGATTCATTTATTCACGTATTATTCATTCATTCATTAATCCACATAGTAATCCATTCATTCATTCACACATAAATGAATGTATACTGTATGGTTATTCATTCATTCATTCATTCATTCATTCATTCATTCATTCATTCATTCATTCATTCATTCATTCATTCGTTCATTCATTCATTCATTCAGTCAGTCACCCCTTACACATTTCATTCATTCATTAATTTATCCATTCACCCATTCATTCATTCATTCAGCTTGTAACTCACTCATTCACTGATTAAATTAACTTTCCAATTTCTCCCCTTTTCTCTCATTTATTCATTAATTCACTTCCACTCATTCGGTTACTCCCTCATTTATTCACATATTTACTATTTCATTCATTCATCCACTCATTCAGTCACTCACTTATAATCTAGCTCACTCACTAACTTAACTACTCATTAACTAATTCATTGACTCAGTCACACACTCATTCATATAACCACTTTATTCATGCATTAATTAATTAATTTAATCCCACTCATTCATTACTACACACATTTATTCACTCAATAATTCATTTGTTCATTTACTCACATTAATTTATTCAGTCCTTTTTATGTTCATTCACTCACTTATTTATCCATTAATACATTCCCTCACTCGTTAACAGATTGATTTATGATCATTCATTCATTCATTCATTCATTCATTCATTCATTCATTCATTCATTCATTCATTCATTCATTTATTTATTCATTCATTCATTCATTCATTTATTCATTCACTTATTCACTCACTCATGAATGAACTTATACAGTGTGTTCATTCAGTCACTTACTTTTACTCATGACTTTAATTCATTCATTCTTCCTGCCTCTTTCATCTATTTATTAACTCACTCACTCATTCACATCATTCTGTCAAATATTAGCTATTTTTTATTCATCTCTCACTTAATTTATTCATTCATTACTCACTTATATATTCTTTTACTCACTCACTCACTCACTCACTCACTCACTCACTCACTCACTCAACTAATTACTCATTAAATAAATAATTCAGACATTAATTCATCACACACTCATTCATATGATCACTTACATTATTCATGGATTATTCATTCATTAATTCATTCTATCACATTCATTCATCACTTCACTCACACATTTATTTACTCAGTTATTAATTTATTCACTTATTCAATCACTCAAATTTTCATTCATTAAATCACTCGTTCAATCATTGAATCACCCGCTCATTAATTTACTGACACATTCATTAACATGTTCAATTTGTTAACAATTTTTGTTCATTCGTTCATTCTTTCATTTACTCATTCATCCATCCATCCATTGATTCATTCACTCATTTGAATGTCAAAATAGCAGTAAAATTTTGCAGTAATGAGGCTTCTGCACAAAAACTAGATAAATGTGACCTCAAATATTAAATATTGAGATACTGCTAGTCAATTTCTTATTTTCTTTTTTGAAACATATTTCACACTTTGTACATTAATAAAAAACAGCATCTATTTAAAAAGTATCAACAGCATTTATAACGTCACATTCAAAAGTAGAGCTGGGTTAGTTTATTTTGTGAAGGGAAGGGTGTAATAATTGTGCATAACTGTTGAGTCATGCACAAACGCATTCCTTAGCCGGCTGACCATTTAGATCGCATACTGCATCCAGATCAGCTGTTAGTACTCAGTCAAAAGGTCCACATTCAGTTAGTGCTGGCTTCTGTAAAGTCTTTAGAGATACCTGATGAATGAAAAATATGGAGGGAGGCAGGGAGAGGGGAGGGACAGGACAGGATAGGGTTAGACGTTAAGGGAGGGAAAGAGCGCTCCAGGACTCCTAGTCGATCACAGATCCACACTTTGAGGGCAGTTCTAAAAGGTAAAAAACAAATCTGTGATATTACAAAAGAATACAGGTGGAGTCAAAATAGAAGTGAAAACACAGATGAAAGTGGAAGTTGAACTAAAAGGACCTTAAAAGTGGACAGCCGGCTCTCCTGAAACATCTGTCATGAGTTTAGATACTGACACTTCACAATAAGATTAAGGACTACAGTATTTTTTTTTGTACTTTGCCACCAAATAGCCTGATGATTGGAATCAAGACAACACTACATGAAGACTACTCAGACAACCAGTCACAAAAATACTTTTTATTTAATTCCATGCTCCAAATAGATTTTGATTTGTAAAATTCTGATCTTTAAATTGCTTAAAAATCTCACAACACATTTCACCCACCAAACCAAAGATTAGCAATTAGTAATTACTATTTTACATCCTCTAAGAATTGCTACATTGTGACAATATTTTTATGACTATTAAGCACAGGACACATACTCATTATTCATTACTGTGATAAGGGCCATTTTCAATCCTGCCATTATTTACATTTTTATTATTTCTATTCTCTACTGCAGTGGTCCTCAAAGTGGGGGTCGGGACCCCTTCATGGGTCGCGGAACAATGAAGGGGGGGTCGCCTGGTGATTTCCAAAAATCTACTTATTATTATTAGGCCAAAAGAATGACCATATTTTATCCATAACCAACTGAAGAGAAAAAAATATAGTTATAGTTATAGTTACTATAGTAGCTTATTTACTTGTTCTGTTGGATTGCGACCCCTGGGGTAAATACATTATATTAAAGACAGCAATAGCGTCAGATGCAGCAGATTGATATTATAACACCAGGTTAAACTTTCTGGCCCATTTACAGCAATGACATACATAAAAAAAATTTAACGAAGAATAGACTTTGGTCTATTGGTGTGTGTGTGTAAGTGTGTGTGCACCATTGCATGCAAGTTTTCTGTATTTATAACCACCTCAGAGGATATTGGGGGTCGCGAGTCACTGGCATTGTTATTTTAGGGGTCGTGTGCTGAAAAGTTTGGGAACCCCTGCTCTACTGTAAGCATATACAGACATGACAGACAGACAGACAGACAGAGACAGACAGAGAGACAGAGACAGACAGACAGACAGACAGACAAACGGATGGACAGACAGACAGACAGACAGACAGAGAGACAGACAGACAGACAGGCAGGTAGGTAGGTAGGACAGACAGACAGACAGCGTGTGAGCCCACGTGGGACTAGAAGTTTATCCTGTACATCACTATCTGTGTTTAAACTAAACTCATAAGTTTTTGTAATTTAAACATTGAACATCAAGGCACGAAGATAAACTGAATGTGCTCAAGACTTGTCAATAAAGGTTATAACATGCAATATAAATCTTGCTTTTGATAAAAACTCAGTTACAGTATTTGCAATAACTATTTCAATATGGCCACCTTTATGAGCATTCGATCACTTATGCCTAAGTAACACTGATCTACATGAAATCTATTAAAGATCAGTGCTCAGTAAACACCTGAGAATTGTAAACATCGATGTGTTGTATGCTGCATGTCTGGATAACATCTAATATCTGCAGTCTGTGTTTTTAAAGTTGATCAAACAACAAAAGACAATGAAATCACTCACTCTGCTCTCGACGGAATAACTATTTTGCTTAAAAATGTTTACAGTCTACTAATTTATACACTGGAGTTTGTATACACAGTGTTAAATGTGATTATATTATATCAGATTTGTACTTGAAAATGAAGAAGATTTTAATTTCTTATTCTTTAAGTGTGCAATGAACATGGCAACCTATATTCACCTTATTCTCCGCCGACGAGTGGGCGCTGCCATTTGAATCTTTTTGTCTCGCGACTTCCGGTCTCATTCACTTCCATTCATTTTTTGACGTTAAAAACTGCTCGTTACGCTGCTTGATGTTGCAATTTGATATTTTCTTGTTATATTATTCTACTTAGTCTGTGTAGTCATGCAAACATTTGTTTGTAGAGCAAGTAGTTTGACCATTTTCTGCCGTTTATTATTCCTAGTCATTACTCCCATAGGCGACAGAACCGGAAGATCTAAGACAATCGCGAAAACAGACGCACTTCCGCATTTTAGAATAAGGTCAATAACCACCTAAAGATGCTTAGACATTTATTTTGAGGAAAAAGGGCAACAACTGGTGATGTATTTTAAGAAGAAATGTGACAACTGGTGGTGTGTGTAGAATGGGTGTCCTGTTGAGGAATGTGTGTGGTCATTGTTGTTTGGGGCTGCTGGAGAATGAGTTTATATGTAAAACAATAACTGTATATGTAAAACACGTTATATATGTGAGAGACTTTCAGGAGAGTGACATTATCAAATTAATGTACCATAAAGCCAATGTATGTAAACACTCAGAAGAGATTGCATCTATGAAGAGAGAACTCTAGTGTGAAAGCAAGTGTTTACATTGCAGGGGACAGGGCCCAAAATAACATGAGCACCTAAAGATATACTGAATTCCTTAGTAAAGAGAAAACGTCCTAAAATGGTTGGAGTTAAAACATAATAGGTCGAGAAAGAAAATCTGTAAAAATATTGTGAAGAACACCGACACTTTGGATTTGTCCTGGGGAGAGACTGAGATGGGTCTGCTCAAGGCTGTCTCTGCTTTTTTTGGAAAATATTTCAATAAAGTTTATTCTTTTGATATTCGTAACCTCCAGACCAGACTAAGTTTGATTCATTAAGAGAAAAGCCGAAAACTATGACAAAAACTACAGGTAGATAAATTAAAAACCTAAAAAGCACTGTTTATTTTAGTAGTATTTAGTATTCAATTGTACTTGTATATTTTTATTAATTTCATTTGGTCCTGTTTTTTTTTACCGAACATATTCCGAGCCATACTAAAACAGTCACCCTAAAACTATACAGACACACAGACAAACGAATAGCCAGACAGACAGACTGACAGATTGACAGACAGATAGACAGAAACACACAGACAGACCAGCCTGATCTCACGAGAAAACGTAAGTATTTTACATTTTGCCAGTTTAGTGGCTAATTTGCACGAGTTCCGTCAAACGAAATGGTACGATTTTAAAAAGGAGGCGTGGCACCTAACCCCACCCCTTACCCCAATCGTCATTGGGGGATGAGCAAATCGCACTAAATTGTACAAATTAGATTGTACGAATTCATACGAATTAGCCACTAAATGAAAAAGTTACGAATTGCCGTGAGATTGTGTTGGACAGACAAACAGATAGACAGACAGAGAGGAAGACAGGCAGGCCTATAAAGAACAATTCCATTTATAATATGAGTGACGCTGACTCTCACCTTCAGCACCTGCTCTAGGTTCTCCAGTTTGCCTTGGAGCTCAGTCCTCTCCAACAGAGCGCAATCTCTCTCCACTGTCACAGTGTACAGAGCCTCCTGCAGCTGCTCATACTCACTTTTCACCTGATTCAGAAACAGATAGAGGCAGAGGTAGAGTTTGATCAACAATACATTCAGACTCTGAACTGATACCGTTTTCCTCTGTTAGAAAGGTGAAAGATCATTCTATCCTGCCAACAAAACTGCCAAAAACTGATGCTTGAACACACCGGTATTCATTGAAATGACAGGTTTGAATTCAATCTACACTTGTGGGTGTCTTTAGATCTGCATTAAGGCAGAGGACGGTCTTGTATGAATAAGACCATCTGGACTCATGTGGCCATAAGGCTAATAGGTGAAATTGTTCAACATATTCCAGCAACATACAGCATGCTTTTGTAAACAGCAGGGTCTAAGAGGGCATATTTAGATGCTCATGTCCCTTTCAGGAACATCTGCTTCACTCGTACATCTCTGTATATGATAAGCAGTATTACTCTATTACTTATAAAAAGCATTGCTTTATTTTAGCGTCATTAAGATACAATAATGCTTTTTATAAGAAAGCAGCATTACTATAAAAAAGCATGAGTGCATTTTAGTGTAATTGAGATAAATATAATTATATATTTGTACATTTATATTTCACAATTTTATTTGATTGTTTCATGCTTATTTGTTTAGGTTACCATTTAGTATACATCCACACAAAGCCAGAGCTTTCCCTATCCACACATATTTTCCATTGTTTTAAAAATATCTTTAAATTCTGCATCGTCTCAACATATATCTTCATACAAAACAATCTGTGAAACTGACTGAATAATAATGTAGTGTGTGACAATTCTGCCAAAGAGATACATAAAAAAGGAAGAAGACTTGGCCAAGACCAAAACAGGTTCATTCTGAAAACATACCGCTATACATTTCTGGAGAGTGCCAAATATGGAGGTAAGATTTTTTTTTCAGTTTTTGTTTTCGCACATCCACCAGAGGCCGCTGTGTACGTATTTTGAGATTTAAAATTTCCCTTGCGAGTGCAATTCGCACCTGCTGTTCTTGAGTAAATCCACCAGAGACCACTGTCGACTGACTGACTGACCGATCAACTGACCCACCCTTCTCCATCCCTAAACCTAACCAATAGTGTTTTCAAAAGCACCAACTAACCCACCAACCCACTTCCCTAGAGCTAAATGACAGTTTTATAAAGCAATCCAGAAAGAGAAAAGCCTTCGTCTGATTTTTACCACGTTTTCAGATTTTACCACATTCTCACCCTGTTATTTACTTGTTTATTTTATTTTTTGGTTTCTATTTTTGTCTTACCTGCCTTCTGGAAACGTTCTTCGCCTGACCCGAACCCTATCGTTGATGTCAACTTTGCATCTTAAGTCCGCCGATGTACATGGCGAGCTAACTGGACAAACTGATAACAGCAGGAAAGCCGTCTATAAGAAGGTAAGCAGTCATTTGGTAAGTGTGAAAGGGAACGGCATCATACCGCCCCATAGTGTTAGTTTTAAAGACTAAATGCAGCCACACGTCCATTACCTCTGCCTACATACAGTAACTCGAGATCACCAGAAATGTATATAGGGCTACGTTTTCATAATGGGTATATGTTGGCACTGCCATACACCTTTGTTGTTGCTGCTGTTACATGACTAGAGTTTCATCATTGTTTCTTAAGATACACAGATTGACTGTAGACACAAAATTGCAAGGGTGTCATTTTCTTATTTACAATAGCCACTGTTTGATGGTGACAGAATTATAGGACAGGTTTCAGAATTATAGAATGGTTTCTGGCTACTAAAATGCCAAAACCATCTAGACAAAATGTCAATACAATACAAACATGTGCTGTATACAGCTAATCACATCTCAAAAAAAGGTTACCAAACATTTTTTTTTGTATTATAACAGAGTTATAATTTTAAGTTTCCTTTTAATTTTCCGTTATCAAGTTATTTTCATTATTATTGTTATGACAGGATGCGCTGACAGTAGAGATAGTTCCAAATGCAGCTTTATTATAAAATGGGATGGTCGTAAAGGCAAGGGTAAACAGGAGCACTGAGAACAACAGAGAAAATTCAATGAGTAATCCAAATAAAAGGCAATGGTAAAAAAGTCAGGAAAAAAATACAAACAGGCTAACACAGGTAAACACTTTGAAATGCACCTAAATTGTAACAAGACTCAGCTATAGGTATGCATAAGAATGGCGATTAGGGAGTATAATAAGTGTAAATGATATTCAGCTGTGTGTATGAGTTGGTCCAGATTGTTTACAGCTGTAGTGGGTGTTGATTGGTGCAAAGACTCATGGCAGTTGTAGTCCAGGTAAATAACAGATAGCATACAGATAAGCTGGAGTGCTCTGTAATGAGTTTAATGGGCACTCCAGCTAATAATCGTAACAATTATTATCCGTTATTAATTTATTCATTCATTTATTCATTCATTTTCTTTTCGGCTTAGTCTCTTTATTAATCTGGTGTCGCCACAGCGGAATGAATGCCAACTTATCCAGCATATGTTTTACGCAGCGGATGCTCTTCCAGCTGCAACCCATCACTGGGAAACATCCATGCACACTCATACACTATGAATATTTTAGCTTACCCAATTCACCTGTAGTGCATGTTTTTGGACTTGTGGAGGAAACTGGAGCACCTGGGGGAAACCCACGCCAACACAGGGAGAACATGCAAACTCCACACAGAAATGCCAACTGATCCAGCTGGGGCTTAAACCAGCGATCTTCTTACTGTGAGCCGATTGTGCTACCCACTGCGCCACCGTGCAGCCCGTTATTAATTAATATTTTAGGTTAAGATATTTTAATACATTAAATTAATAATACAATAAAAAAATATTGTAATTGAGATATTTTAGTTTATAAATTTCCATATAATATTCCATTAAAAAATTAAATAAAATAAAAAACACCAGCATGCTTTCAAAAACATCCATGCCTGGGTTGTCAGATCTGGGAGCTCATGTTCCAAAAAGAACCCCTTCTGCAGAAAATATGTTACTTCAAATGATTTAACTATTTACACTATTAAACTATTAAATGCTTTGATATTTGCTGTATTTGAAGGTGCTATATTCTGTCAATCTTTACGTTGTGTTATGTGATACAGTATGCGGTGTGTGTGTGTGAGTGTAGTGTGTTTGTTGGCACAGAGAAGAGGGGTTGATGTCCAGTATCGATCGCAGCGTCAGCCATGATAAAAAGCTGAGTTGTCAGAGAACAGACTCCACACCTGTCCCATCTGACACTCATCTCTTATCTGCAACCTGAGCCCCACACACGCAATTACAGCTCAATACATTTGTTCTGAGGGAAATTTGCCTGACCTCTTACACTTGTATTATTCATTCTCATAAAATTCAACCTGCATGTTGGACAAGTTTAATGTGAAACATGTAATAAACAAATTAGGCAGAATCTGGTTTCTCAATGTACTATTTATTAGCAACAGATAACGAAAGGAGGAAACTTTATGACATTTCAATAACTTTGGAATAATTAAAAGACCATTACGTGGGTGCGTAAATAAGTATGTACAGTATGTGGGCCTACACTCTCAGAAATAAAGATACACAAGCTGTCTGTCACGTACGAGAATATGTACACAGAGCTAAGGTTCCAAAAGCAGCTTTATTGAAAATAGTTAAACAGGCAGGGGTCAAACAGGTGCAAACACAAATATCAGGTGTAATCCAAAAAGAGTAATCCAATGTACACGCAACAGGTCGAGACAGGCAGCAAGCAATCATACAAATAGAAACAGTCGAAAATTAAAAACAAACAAGGCAATGAAGATAAAAAATGCTCAGAATGGATGTGAAAGTAACAAGATTTAGCAAAAAGACAGAAGCTTTGTCTTCCTTACTATATAGTATGTGAAATACAGTATGTGTATATGTCTGAAATAACAGTAGTCGAAAAACAGCACTGTAGGTCCAAAATACCTGGATGACCTAATACTTCCAGTGAGACACTACACTATCCCATGATGCCACCTGAGAGAATTCATAAATAGGAGTTAAGTGACGCAACTGATGCAGGTAGGTCAAGTTACAATGACAAATGGCATTTGAAGTATGTCCAAATTCCTTTCACACTACTCAAATTAATACTATATAGAAAATATTTTATTTTAATTTTTATGGGAGGGTTTCACCTTTAACAGATAAGACAGTAGAGAATACTGCTGTGTATTGCCAGTTACTGTAACCAAACTTTTACAGTGAGTAGCTGGAAACCAGTGTTGCCAGTATTCTACTGTAAAAAAGCCCAGTAAAGTCTAACAGTGTAGCATAAAAGTAAGTAAAATAGTGGATTATTTTATTTCAACAGCTTTTTAAAATAACTTTAACCCATTGAAAAGAAAAGGTACATAACAGTGTCATAATAAATGAAAATATTGCTAAAAATCACATAATTTTTGTCGCATGCAGTTGACCATTCATGTGCTGTGGTAAAAGGTGTGTTTAACCAGCTCCCCTCAGGAAGCCAATACGGAAGTACCTAAGACTTTTCAGCTGAACATGTTTACAGCCTGGTTCAAAAGATGGCTTTGGTGCATATAATTAATGTTACCCTTTATGACCACTGTGAGGGGGGTAAATTTAATAATGATCTAAAAAATAATTATATAACAAAAATTATAATTAATAATATATAATATTATTCAAAAACAACCAAGCACATTTTTTAACATTAATGTTTCTGTTTGATAAATTCTACCGGATTTAGCCAGAAGCTAATATTCATCCATAAGAAATACATATTCATCTGCATATTATAACAACAACAACATTATATAATGACACTTATATTCATAGCAACTTACAAATAAGTAAGGAGGAAATAACACAAGAAGTGCTAACAATGCAAAGCTTCAAACTTTTTTTGCAATGCAAGCTATGACAGGTAGGCTCATTATTATTATTGCAGCTGTTGTTGTTATTATTATTACGGTTATTTTATATTAGATGATCATGGTCTTAAAAGGACAGTTACCCTTAATGAAAATCTTCATCTACTTTTTAAACAGGCA